CCACTCGCAGACGTCCACATCTGCTGCCGTGATGTCATCAACACGTGACGCCGCTCGGAGGCTCGTGTGTTAATATTTGATACCCAACATAGCCTCTTTCTCTCTATGCCTTTCTTGTTCGGTGGTTTTATCTTCCTCCCGAAATAAAAGACACCGCACCGCTCTCCTTCCTCTCATGAGCTTTTAGCTGTAACAAGCATTAGAAAGAATGACAGATATAAATTATATTGAAATCTCAGCTATTCCCCTCAGCTGTTTTGACGCTGTAAGTATATAGTAGTTTATTGTTTTAAAAACTATATATATATATATATATATATATAAACAAAAAAAACATAATAATTAATCTTTTTTGTTATAATTAATCATTATTTACTGTTAATAGAATAATAGATAATCAATAATAATAGAATAAATAACACGCTGACATTTGTCTTATACATATAAATGGGTAATTGTTTGAACTTATTTTCTTATTTTCAATTTTAAAAAAATGTATATATATTTATATATATTTTTTTACTTTTTATTTACCCTCTTTATCATGCTGACATTTTAACTCTATTTATTATACTGACATTTGAACTACTTCATTCATAATTCCCCTCGGCTGTTTGGACTCCGTCGGTAAAACCACAAGAAACCAAGCCAAAGCATTTAGTGCAGGTTTTCCAGAGTCTCCGTCCCCAGAGACTCGATTTGCAGTGACCCACAATGGGGCCGCTAAATAAACACAGTTAAACCCCATAGCACAAGCATGCGAAACAGCCCGGAAACCCTCTGAATCCCCTCCGAAGGGAATCACCATCTCATCTGTCACCTAATGTACGACGACATTGTTCATTTCAAGTCCTTAAAATGGCCTTTAAGAAAATAAAGCCTGTTTTTAAGGCCATCAAGTCTTATAAATAGGCATTATAAATATATAGACGTTTTACATATGTTGTTGACGTGTTGGTCATTTGCTTGCGTAAATGGTGCAGTGTCATTGGTGGTTGCATACAGTACATGGTGTGGTGGTTGCGTGCAGAGTTGGGTCTCTGTTTGGCTGTGGCCCTTCACCCTTTGTCTCCAGCTCTATGAGACAGGAGCTAAAGATCATGGGAAAAAGGCCTTAAACATCCCGTCGGTCTTTGAAGCATATAAGAAGGATTGTCAGGGTCACTGAAACACTCTTAGCCTCCTGTTTTCATCACTGTCACTAACTGCTGCTATGCTTATTACGGTCATAACAAAGCCTAATCTTGTGAAATATGCTATACTGAAAACATTTGTGTGATTGACAGGCTGATACTTTACATTACTAGCATAGCTAAGTGCGCACGTGCTTTGTGAAGGTTTTTCAAATGCACTACATCAAAATGGCTGCCTTGGCGAGATAATAAGGAAATTATAATAAACAACCGCAATTGTTGTGTGTATAGAGTGCCGAAGTTATGACGTCACTTTGTAGGACAACTCGGAAGTTAGCGGCGCATTGGTTCCCTCGATTGAAAAGCTATGCATTTCCCCCATAGACTTTTGGAAAATCGCAAAAAATAAGATCTGTGTTCAACAAAGAGTTGTGACCTTTACACGTTTTGTCTATCAAGATAATCTTGACAAGTTAATCCAAAATGTATACATTTTGAAGCGTATATAAAGTTTTTAAAACCCACAAGCAGGTTATAACTGGTGTGTTTTATGTCATCAAAACGTGAGAATAGTTAGAGGCTTTGTTCACCACTTACGTTTTTTCAGGCGAATTAGCAAAAACCCATTCAAAAATCCCATAGACTTTAGGGCGAGGGAACCGGGAGTGCTACAATGCTAACGTTTTGGCCTACAAAGTCACGTCATAACTTCGGCACTCTATTGTGTTGTTATATTGTTTATCAAACAAGATTTTTAAAGTGAAAAACACTGCGTTTAACTGTGTACCTGCTTCTTTTTTTGTGCTAATTTTAACTTAATTTTACACTACACCATTTTAAACTAAAAACATAAAAGTTTGTATGCAATTTGGCCGTTCATTTTTATAACAATGGCGTTTTGGTGGACTGAAAACGCAAGCTTTTGAAAGCGGGTTTCAAAGTGCAAGTTTTTAAAAACTATACTGTCGTCTCTGTGTAAACTACAAAAAAAGTGTGAATTTTTGAAAACGGTTGACGTCATACATATTATGTGTTATGTGTTATATACATATTATGTATCTATACTGTTTCTTTACAAAGTGAAATCGCCAACTACTGGCCTGCCATTTGGGCCGGTTTTAGCTGTTTCCGCGGATCCGTGTAAACGGGGATCGTTTTGATAATGTTGGCGTTGACATGAAAAAAGCGAAGGAAAAATGTTAGTACATCTTTTTTTTGTGTAAAAGTTTCCTAAATTGAAATGTTAAAAGCACATGATAATATTTAATAGTTATATTATATAATAATATCTAAATAATGTTTGAATTCATAGTATTATTTATTAAAAAAAATAATTGTAAACAATATGTTAATAATAATATTTAAGGATTAACATGAATACTTATGAGTTCAATATAATAATAAAATTTAAAATTGAAATTAACTTTAAGAATTGTAAAATTTAATGTCTACACACATCAGTTTTGTTTTTATTGCCAATATTGTTGCTTTATTAATCGATTAATATATCTCACAAACGAAATTAGTTAATGAAATTAATTCTTATTTAAATGAATTGGTTAATTGTTTCCCCTTTTATTTTACCCAAATATTGCTGCATTAAATCCAGTGTTTTTAAAAATGATTTCTGATCATTGAAATAGAGCGAAATAAAATAAAATGACAGTACATACTATTAATAAATATAAATATATATAAATAATAGTAAAATAACATCAGCATTAAAGCTGATTCTGGACTTGATTAGCTCCATGGGGAGACCAAGATTTAACAAAAAGATACATTTAAAAAAAGCATTATTGAGGTCCCCCTGACGTGATGTCTTGTTCAACGCAGCCCTCGGCCTACAACGAGTTAGAGTTAAATGAGTTTGGCTCCCGTAGCGTATGTAAACGCTGATATTGGTCACGCTTATTTCACGCTACAGCAGAGTCCATTGTGAGGCTTTTTGAAGGGTAAATGGGAAACACACAAAAGCAGCGGTGGTCGAAGCGCTTTATTAAAAACTGGTTAAAGATTGCATGCAGGCAAAATATGTTGGAATGTATTTAAACAGTTTGATGAATTAAGTTTATTTTTATGACCACTTTACCAAATAGTTTATTCATGTTTTATTCATGATGTGCTTAAAAAAATAATAATAATTAAAAATAAAACAACAAAATGTAGGTTAAAAACTCAATCCGAGATGTATTCTGTGAAAGTCTTAACATCAGAGTCTGTAATATCACAATTTTCTTCTTGACTGGATCCTAATGTTAAGTGAATAACGTCAACCTCATTTTCACTCATAGCATCATGGCTCGGTAGGGGTCAGGGGTCATGGTTAGGTTGTGCGTCAGGACTATTAAAAAGGGTCAGAGGTCGGCAAAGGAGAATAAAAAGGAGCCACATGTAATCGTCAGATCAATTTAAATTCTAGTTTGCATGACATCAAGAGGCGTTTGCTCGAATGGGATTTCTGTTATGGAAATAATTGCCGCAAGTAGTAGTTGAGCGTTCGAATAAACGTTCGAAAAGTGCTGAGTGCTTCACAGGTTTCATATAAGCCACAAGATGCTAATAACATGTGACACATTTGCTTATGTTGTTGTGAGCGAGAGGGAGGTGACCTTCTCTCGCCGTGCCCAAATGCGTTTTCCACGTATGTTCGCACAAGTGAGAAGTGCTGCTTCTTCCCTTATCTGTCTGTCTCTCTCTCAGTAAAAAAAGCTTTTCGTGTCCCTGTTCTCCTGGCCTGTCTCTCTCCATTTCCCCTGCCGTTTGTAGGTCAGTTCCTCCTTTAATGCTCAAAAGAGTTTGTCTTGTCCTGAAAGAGGGACACACAGACCAAATCCATTACTGGCCGAGGTGAAAACAGCACAGAATCGCTTTTACAGCGCACTGTATTAAATACTAAATACCTTGAAAAGAATCTAAAGTAAAATGAATCTTAAAATAACAATTAAGTCAGTTTACTAAGTCGGTTTAATAATACATGACCTATTTGTAGGTTGAGATCCTTAAAAAGTTCAAACATGGGGTCTCTTTGGCTAGCTAAACATTGCTCTGTTTGTTTCCGACCAGCCTGGCATGGCAACAGTGACTCAACCAATGGCTTGAGTTAGGGGCGGGGCTTGCTGTCTGCCTGACCAATGGCAGAGTGTGTGGGAAACCTGATTGAAAACAAACTGTTATTTTTGAGTCATCTTGAATATGATATAACTGAACTTAACTAAACCTCATATGAGACCCTTTTGAAATCTTTACTGTGAGATCAAATAAAGATATGTGTATTTGTATTTGATTCTTGTGTCTCCTTTAAGAAGTCTCAACAAGTTCTCAAGCTCTGCTCAGATTTTGTAAAATCTGTACTAAAGTCAGAGATCTCGGTTTGAAAACAAAAATTTCTCATCAAAGACAAAGTGAGCCATGCTAACCATGCTAATTTTATTTCTGTATACTCTTATTGTCTGTAAAAAATGAATTTTGAATTTTGTGAACACCTGAGACAATGTGAATGAAATACATGAGCTCTCCATTAAGTCTCATGAGTTATAAAAGAGCAACTTTTGAGCCTTTTTTTTCTTCCGAAAAGTGAATACGTGAGAAGATCTGTGTTATTTCCGTAACCTCGTAAGTTTGAGAAAGGGTTACGCCTACTTAGAGCGTTAATTCATCCTGAAATGAAAATTAAGTCATAATTTGCTGGAATGCTGGAATAGACAGCACGTGGGTGAGTAAATTGTGACTTAATTTTCATTTTAGTGTGAACTATCGCTTTATGGTTAGAGGTTTGTTCAAAATGTAATGGTGATACTTAACTTAGAAAACACTACTAAATTTAAATGTACTTAACCTTCCCTTTCTTGCTGTTTTTGTCAACAGTCGCACTGAAAAACCACACCTCCAATGGTTTGTCGTCGAACAACAGTAACCGTGACAACGGTAAAGCAGCGGGATTGGTTGACGGCTGGCTGAATGAGGGAGAGCTCCTACTACAGGTCAGGAGTAAAAACACGTGTGTGTACATGTTTATGACGTCCCTGTGTCGTTTAAAGCTATGCCCTTCAGGAAGGAGAGGCTATTTCTGCAGAGCCTTGTTCTCGTTTCAGACACTTAGGCATGAATAATGCACAGACAGAGCTCTCATGTATTATAAAGGAAGGATAAAATAAGAGGTAAAAGTATTCTCTCGTTTTTTTTATACTTTGAAAGTTTCGCTCTGTCCATCCATCCAGTCACAGCAGTTCTGAGAAGTTGTGAACCACCTGTCCACTCACGTCTACACCTTTTCATTTCCTCATCTATGCTCTCACATTCTCTCTGTTATCCTCTATTATCTTTTATCTTTCCTTCCTGCTGTTTCTTCCTTCCCTCCTTCCTTGTCTACGCTTTATTTGAATTTTCTCACTCATGCTTTTACATTATCTCTGCCTCTATTTGATCTCTATATTTTCTTCCTTTCTATTTCCTTCCTTGCTTCACTAATTTTCCTTCTTTCCTTTCTTCCTTTCTATTTTTCCTTGCGTTTTCTTTGATCAATCCATCTCTTCCTTCCTTAATTTCTTCCTGTCTTTTCCCTTACATTTCTTTTATCGATCGGTCTCTTCCTTCCTTCCTTACTTCCTTCCTTCATTCCTTTATTCCTTCCTTCCTTCCTTTGTTCCTTCCTTCGTTCCTTCCTTCTTTCCTTCCTTCCTTACTTCCTTCCTTCTTTCCTTCCCTCCTTCCTTCCTTCCTTCCTTCGTTCCTTATTTCTTTCCTTCCTTCCTTCATTCCTTCCTACTTTCTTTCCTTCCTTCTTTTCTTACTTCCTTCCTTCTTTCCTTCCTTCCTTCCTTTCTTCGTTCCTTCCTTCTTTCCTTACTTATTTCCTTCCTTCTTTCCTTCCTTTCTTCGTTCCTTCCTTCTTTCTTTCTTTCCTTCCTTCCTTACTTCGTTCCTTCTTTCTTTCCTTCCTTCCTTCCTTCTTTCATTCCTTCCTTCCTTCCTTCCTTCCTTCTTTCCTTCATTCATTCCCTCCTTCCTGTCTTCCTTCCTTCTTCCTTCCTTTCTTCCTTCTTCCTTCCTTCCTTCCTTCATTCCTTCATTCCTTCCTTCCTTCCTTCGTTCCTTCCTTCTTTCCTTCCTTCCTTACTTCCTTCCTTCTTTCCTTCCCTCCTTCCTTCCTTCCTTCCTTCGTTCCTTATTTCTTTCCTTCCTTCCTTCCTTCCTTCCGTCCTTCATTCCTTTCTTCCTTCTTTCTTTCCTTCCTTCCTTCTTTCATTACTTCCTTCTTTCCTTCCTTCCTTACTTCCTTCCTTCCTTCCTTTCTTCGTTCCTTCCTTCTTTCTTACTTATTTCCTTCCTTCTTTCCTTCCTTCCTTTCTTCGTTCCTTCCTTCTTTCTTTCCTTCCTTCCTTACTTCGTTCCTTCGTTCCTTCTTTCTTTCCTTCCTTCCTTCCTTCCTTCTTTCATTCCTTCTTTCCTTCATTCATTCCCTCCTTCCTTTCTTCCTTCCTTCCTTCTTCCTTCCTTTCTTCCTTCCTTCCTTCCTTCCTTCCTTCCTGTCTATTTATTCCTTCCTTTATGCTTGTCTTGTTTTCTTCATTCCGTCCTCCTTCTCTATTTCTACCTACCTTTACCCTCATCTTCTTCGTTCCTTCCCTCCTTCCTTCCTTCCTTCCTTCCTACCTTCTTTCTGTCTTTCCTTCCTTTGTTCCTTCCTTCTTTCTTTCTTTCTTTCTTTCCTTCCTTCCTTCTTTCCTTCCTTCCCTCCATCCTTGCTTCCTTCCTTACTTCTCTCTATCTATCTATCTATCATCTATCTATCTTTCTATCTGTCTGCCTGCCTTCTCTACCACTATTGTTTCTCTGCTTCTCTCTCTCTCTCTCTCTCTCACACTCTCTCTCTCACACACACACACACACACACACACACACTCACTCACTCCCCTGTGTTGTGTATAGTTGTGTGTGTTGGACTGTGAATGATGCAGTGGTACATATTTGATAGTAATGCTTCCTGACTGCTGCCCCCCTCCCCCTCCTGCCCCACGAGAGCCCAGTGTGGGCTGTTCTGCCGACCAACAAGCCGAAATATTTATACTGAGTGCTGCTACTTGGCCATGTTTTCTGAGTGTGTTTGGGCCAGGTGTGCATGTATGAAGGAGTATGTGTGTGTGTGTGTGTTGTGTTGGCATACAATGCAGTTCTTCAGGCAAATGAGTGGGGCGCTGGAAGACATAACCCCTAAAACTGCTGTTCGGCTTATGATGGGGTTACGCACTCGGAATCTTGTGGCTTATTGCTTTATGTTAATACACAGCAGCACATTTCTGTGTGCATATAATTTGGCAAAGGCGATCGTAGATTAATGTGGTAGAGATGATTTTTTATGATGTATTGCTTTTTGCCTCATCATATCATTTTAGCTTATAGGATTCAGTTTGCAGTTAGAAAGCTGAGAGTGGTTCTAGATCAGTTTGTTTGCAACACAAACATAAGCCTACACAGCCTACATAAAACATTGATAGGATTTCAAGAGAGCCCTTATTTACGCTCAGACGGAAGTCCCAGAGGATGCACATGTTTGTCATTCTTCATCTTATTATGACTTATAAAATGATTCATTTTTTACAATATTATAGTATTTTAGTAGTATATATATTTTTCCTGTTGTCATCTTATGTTAGCCAGGATTTTAAAATTCAGTACTTGTTTTATTCTATATTTAAGCACTATATGTATGAATATGTATTGTGCATTTGTTAATTCATTTATTCTAACATACTTATTCGAGTGTCACACTAGACTGTTCACACTTGGTCTAACCTTGATGACCGGTTCACAGCCAGTGCTCTTGGCTTTTATCGACAGTGGATTTTTTTTTTGCAGTGACTTTTAAAGTAAATGTTTGTTTTTGTATTGTCTGTGCTGTCGATGCATCAGATTACTATAATCACACAGATCCACACTCAGAGGCCACCAGATGGTGATGAGCTGTAAAATCCCCCCACAAAAATACACACAGCACAAGAGCACATGCTCTCACAAAGTATTTAATGGCAGCATGAAATGGACAATGTTTACTTTCTCAATAACTAGTCTGTGGGTTTTTCTTGGCATTATTGTTTTTTTTTTTTTATCCTTTCATCAAAATCTACAGTAATACCACTTTTTAAAAATGTAGTCAATATTTGGCTGGTTTAGCATGATCCATTTGTTTTTCTTTGCACACAACACACATATACTGTAGTTTAGATTTCTTTATAGATCTCAATTCATGTTGTTTTATATTGGAGTGAACTTTTAAAATGGGGCTTTTATTTTGAAGTTGTTCTTTCTTCATGTCATTGTTCACTAATTCCAGGTATATTTAATCATTAGTTTCTATGCATTTATAGTCCTTATATTTTTGTTTTTGTCTAGCATTGGTTATTCGTAACCAGAATTCTTGCGTTTCTTTGCTGCGGCAACTGCACATCCAGTGGCCGAGCGTCTCTGAACGCGCGACTAATCAATTGACTTATGGTGCGTTCTATTATAGCCAACGAACCGACTCGGACCTCGGATTTGACGTCACGTCCACACTTCAAGCATTCTATTTGTTTTGCGCGTCCGAGTTGGAGAAAAAAATGGATGCCACCCGGAAAGCTGTTATAATGGTAGCACTGGCCGAGTACCAGGCACTCACATTAAAAAAAAAAAAAAAGATGACTACACCTTATTAAAACGCAGCCATTTGAACTTGAAAATGTTCACTTTATTAATGTTTTTCATGTTAATTTTCTGTTAGCAACGCTAGAAACGTCAGTAATTGCACTCACAACAAACGATTCCCATACCTACAGGGGACGCAGTAATACAAGTGATTATAACCATCATTTAAAATACCAAAGCGGTTCAAAAACAATGAAAACAATTCATTCTTACAAGTCACAGGGCGCAGCCATCTTGAATTCCGAAACGGAATTCTTGCTCGGTGTCCTCACGGTTGTCCTACGTCCTAGAGGAGAAATTCGAGGAAAGGGGGCGTGTTGCTAGGCAACGTCTGTGTTCCGATTTGGATCTCCGAGACGGATGAATAATAGAACGTGCCATTAGCCGAGTACGTCAGTGCGTGCCAAAATGGGCGTGGCGTAAGCCTATAAATTTCGCTTATTTTGGCCAAAATACCAGGTTTAAATTGATTGAAGCGACACATCCTGGCAGATTGCAATAGTGCGCCAGGCTACGCAATACTCGTTCCCTACTTTCAGGGAACCGAGGTTACGTTAGACGCAATCTAAAATGCTGCACATTAGCAATTGGCTGAAGTAACTGGAGCTTAGGAAAAACACTCCAAAGCTCAACAGAACAAGCCATAATCAGTCTCCCAGTATAATGACACTAACCGGACAGGGTCGGGTTCATATGTACAATATTTTTCGTCCGTGAAAATGTTGCTCTTCCTGGTTAAATTGTACCTGAACTACACCTAGGTAGGTATAATGACTGTAACGTAAACAAATGCCCACTTGTTTTCTTTTAATATGCCCCATTCCAACTTCCTGTTTTAACAGGAAATGCTTCAACACAGGAAGGAAAACTATACTTGTCGATTTATTTTACGGCTCTTTAGAGAACGCACAGAGAATCAAACTAGACCTTCATTAAAAGCAAGTTGTCTATCTGACCCATAATGACCAGTAAACTAATAGTTTTATTTTCTGTGTTTCTTTGTTCGTTCATGTATGGTCACAGGCGCTCAATGGCTTTGTGTTGGTGGTCACTGCTGAGGGGATTGTTTTCTACTGTTCTCACACCATCCAGGATTATTTAGGATTCCACCAGGTAATTATGTTTCTCTAACAGTCTCTTACATAAACACATTCGCTGCGTCCAAAATCGCGTTCTGTCTGAGTAGGTAGGTTGATTATTTTACTTCTCGATCTTTATAGGAGTATGAATGAAATTCGGACATACATCCGTCATGTTGTTACCGTCACGTGACCCTACAGGGTCAGTTGCGTTGCTTCATTGCCATTCATAAATCCTCTCCCGTGGCCTCATGGGATAGTAAAGTGTCCATCGAATGCACACTTCAGAATCTCGCCGAAAATTGCCTACTGTTTTTCGAATACTATGTATTCTGACACACTACTCTTTTGGCATACACTGTTTTTTCATAATATATAGAAGGGAAGTATTTGATTATTTGTATTTATCATACAGTCACTGTTGTAATACTAATCCAATATACAGCTGGATTGGATAATGCCGTTTATCTGTTCATGAAATACTAACTAAACGTATTTAAAGGTGCAGTGTGTAGATTTTAGCTCCATCTAGCGGTTCGGTTGCGAATTGCACTAATGAATCCAACTACATATTTTACACCACTGACAAGGGAAAAGTCACTTCTCATGGTGTTTATGGCTAGCTTCTAGCTTTCTGCAGCTTCTCTTTCAAGGTAGTGACGAAACGCGTTCGGCTACGGTAGAAACGTGACGTCACAATATGTCGGCCTTCATAGAAGGGGGTGCCCGCGGTTATGTAGATATAAATTTCTCATTCTAAGATAATAAAAACATAACGGTTCATTGATTAAGGTCTTTATACACCTCTGAACACATAGTTATGGATCTTATATTGCATTTCTGTCAATAGATAAGATAGATAAGATAAGATAAGATAGTACTTTATTGTCCGTGTACACGGAAATTTGTCTTGCAACCCAAACCCCAACAATTATAACACACACAAACTAAAAACAAAACATACAGTCATCAATAAAAAGTATACCAAAGTACTTAAATAATATTATGGGCACTCCGCCCTGCAAGAGTGTTCTTCAGCTACAAGTGGGGGGAAAACTATCGCTTCTTTCCCCTCATGCGTTGATTCAGCATCGATATTGACAGAGGAACAAATGAGTGTTTGTATTTGTTCTTCCTGCACTCTGGGACCCTATAGCGCCTCCCAGAGGGCAGGAGTTGATACTCCTTATTCAGAAATGTTACACATTGCACCTTTAAATGAAAAATGTTTCTCCATATTATGTTCCGACATGCCGATTTGTTGCATTTCTTTTAGTGTGAAAAAAGAAAGTAGGCCTTCATTTTAAAGTAGGCTGCTTGTGCAGCTAAATTATTTCCAAATCAGACGTGATGTAACAAGTTTTGCATGGCATGCAATTTGTCGGTTCACATTGTAACTAAGGTCAGGACACAGTTTTAATCTGATTGATAAGTATACATATTCCCAGAATCAAAATGACGTCGACTCAGCTGTTGGATAATCATTTTATACTTCTCATCTCTATTCTTAGCACATACACACACACACATATATACTCATCAGATCTGCCTAATACTCAATAATACTGCGGTGTCTTTCGAGGAACAGCTTGAATGCAGTAGAAATTGAATGAGCTTAATCAAATAGGCTTTACTCTGAGATTCAGTCTGGCACGGTGTAATCCAATTCATCATAATTTACTTATGAATTATCCAACTGTGGCATCACTTTACTTATTTATTGTATGTGCTTACACACTGCCTTCCTTATACAGTATATAGCATATCCAAATATATGCATTCTAATATGCAAATTAGAATGATTTCTGAAGGATCATGCGACACTGACGACTGGTGCAATGAGTAATTAAGCGCTGCATCACATGAATATATTACATTTTAAAATATATTCTAATAGAAAACAGTTAAAAATTTGTATTTTTGATCAAAAGCATAAGATACTTCTTTCAAAAACATTAAAACATCATATTAATCTCAAATTTTGAATAGTAGTTAGTTGATATATTTGTAATTTGTAAAAAAAAAAAAATAATAATAATAATAATAAAAAAATAATAATGTTGCATCCTTTCAACATTATTTCTCTCACACTGTCCCTCTTCATTTGTCCCTCGATCACCCAGACGGATGTGATGCATCAAAATGTCTTCGATCTCATTCATACTGAAGACCAGCAGGCCTTCAGACACAACTTGCACTGGGCTCTGAACCCACCTCCAACCAGCAAACAGACAGAAGAATCCTCACACGGTCAGGAAATATATCATTTTATATCATGGTAGCACTATATATAGTTTTTTTATGTAATTAATTTTGCTGTGAATTCAGTGGAAATGTGTTTGTGTATCAAATAACCATGTGACAGTGCCTATTTCCTTTGAATACTGATGTTTTTGGTTTCCTTTTTTATTTGGAACTTGATGGACGCAAACCAAAAAATATGATTATTCATTATAAATTATTAATAAAAGACCCAAATAATTTAAGCATATATTCAAATGAACAACCTGAGTTTGAAGAGAGTTACCTAAAATGAAAGAGAGGGTTTTTGTTTTGTTTAAAAAAAAAAAAAAAAAAAAAGAGACGAGGGTGGTTTGACCTTCAGTGGAAGCTCCTGGAGTTACAAAATAAATGTTATGGTCACTACGATGTCCATTTTAATTAAGGATAACAGCAAACAGAAATGGAAAAATTGAAAGTTTTTGTTTCTCTTAGATGGAGATCCTGCCCCAAGTATGTCTCTGGTGATGTGCAACCCTGACCAGCTGCCTCCAGAAAACTCCTCTTTCCTGGAGAGAAATTTTGTCTGTCGTTTCCGATGCCTCCTAGACAATTCCTCTGGATTCCTGGTCAGTGTCAACCAACTAAGCTGGGCTATAGCTTTCCTTTCGCTCTAAAAACCTAAAAACGAGTTGTCTACATATAGGAACTGCTAATGTAATATTAGGAAATGTTCATATGTTGGAATATAGAGTCTCTAAGCCCCGATGTTCCAGATTACAGAGTGTGTTAGCATCTAGGTTAGTACTGGTGTTGGATTGCAGCCATAGATCAGAATTGTTGAAACACCTCTGTAATCCCTCTTAAAGGAGCAATAGGGTCATGGGGAAAAGGTTTAAATGTGTGCTAGAAAAAAAAATGAGCAAAATAGCAAGAAGTACAAGAACCTGTTCAAGTTAGCATAAATTGAAGCTAATTTGAGGAAAATCAGACTTTAGCTATAGAGTGCAACGGTGACCACTGACTCTTTCAGCAGTCCGAAAATGTTTTTCCCATTCATTTTCTCCAGCCAGACAGCTGCCTCTTTCTTTGCTAATCTTGGCAATGCAGTTGCAAAGTAAAGATATGTATGCGTGCAAAACTCAGTACTGCAGGATTCTCTGGACTCTTGGCTTTTACTTTCTTTCCTCTGCACTCCATCTTTACCAAATCAATCTCCCTCAAGAATAGCATGACTACACTTAGCTTGTCAGGAGCGGAACGCTAACAGGGGTCTCCCTGTGTGCTTAGAGAAATTCATTAGCATGAACTATAAATACAAGCAACCTCAAGCTCTTTTCCATTGCGTTTATTTATTTTTTGGTCCGTTTGGTATTTTAGAATGCAACCGTTAAAGGAGTAGTTCACTTTTAAAAAAAACTTTTGCTGATAATTTACTCACCCCCATGTCATCCAAGATGTCCATGTCTTTCTTTCTTCAGTCGAAAAGAAATTAAGGTTTTTGATGAAAACATTCCAGGATTTTTCTCCATATAATGCACTTTACTGGGAACTAAACGGTTCAAGGTCCAAAAGACAGTTTCAGTGCAAACTGCACACTGTTCAAAGGGCTTTAAACGATTTCAGATGATGACTAAGGGTCTTATCAGGCAAAACGATCGCTCATTTAATAAATAAATAAAAAAGTTTAAGTTTTATAAGCTCAAATGCTCGCCTTGCTCTGTTCTGTGATGAGCGTTCGTGACTCTCCTGTTCAAACTCATTCATCAAAATGAACAAAACTTTTTTCGTGTCATTTGGTTCATTCAACGAACGAAATTAACAAGTTAACTCTGGAAAAGATTCGTTCATTTTGATAAACAAGTTTGAACAGGAGAGTCACGAACGCACATAGCAAGGCAAACATTTGACCTTATAAAACTTAAACTTTGTTGTTGTTTTTTTAAATGAGCGATTGTTTCGCTTGATAAGACCTTTATTCATCGTCTGGAATCGTTTAAAGCCCTTTGAACAGTTTGCACTAAAACTGTCTTTTGGACCTTGAACCGTTTGGTTCCCATTGAAGTCCATTATATGGAGAAAAATGCTGGAATATTTTCATCAAAAACCTTAATTGCTTTTCGACTGAAGAAAGAAAGACGTGGACATCTTGGATGACATGGGGGTGAGTAAATTATCAACAAAAGTTTTTTTTAAAGTGAACTACTCCTTTAAGTTCTCTTGGGAGGTTCACAATAAAAATGCAATTTTGGCCAATTAGCTTCCACCATCACAATTTAGTTGCACTGAAAGCCTTTTTTGCACTAAATTTAGTTGCACTGAAAGCATTTTAATTTGCGTCAAATGAAATATATACATCACTAATGTGACTAATGTGTGTCTGTGTATAAATACTTCAGGAAGTCATTGCCAAGGGGATGTTTACATGACACTGTTTTCAACTTTTTGGCCGTTCCCCCAACAACCATATGTTGGGGGCCTGAAAAATGCAAACTTTTGAAAAGTTTTTGAAAAGGATACCGTTATCGACCACGTGTAAACTACAAAGACGTTAACGTCACGCACAAGTGTATTTTACATGTTCATTCTATATGTGCGTAGTGGTTCTTTACAAAGTGACATTGCCAACTACTACCCTGGCAGCAGAATACAGCGTTTTTAGTCATTTTTCTCAAATCCGCAGATTTCTCAGATTTTACGAACGTATTTTTACGTTTACGAAAAATGCCAAAGAAAAACTTTACCGTTTTTAGTACATCGTTGTGTAAACATACCTTGAGGCATTTGTTGTGTAGCCTTATATAAGCAGGACTAATTTAAATCAGGTATTGCACAAGGTGCCACACAATTTACAAGCCTTAAAGGATTAGTTCACTTTAAAATTAAAATTAGCCCATGATTTACTCACCCCTCATAAGCCGCCCTAGGTGAAAATGACTTTCTTGTCTCAGACGAATACAATCAGAGTTATATATATTTTTTAAAAGTCATCTACACCTATGACTTGAGTGTGAATTTGAAAGTGACTACTCCTTTAAAGGAAAAGCTCACACAGAAACAGAATGACATGAAAAATAGGTTGTCGAGAGTGCCTTCCAGCCATGAAATGTGTAGTGTTTTTTTTTTTTTTTTTGTGTATGCATATTTATAGATGACACTAAATAAATCACAGATGACATACATAAAATACTCACTCGTGGATGTCATAATCTCCACCAATCAGAACAAAAGGTGTAAGGTTTAGTAACGAGTCACAAAAAAATGAAAACATTCAGGTATGACACATTCTAGACAGGTCGTACAACCTTTATTGATAGATAACCTAGCTTGAACTCTATTGCCACATTGAGTCAGAGACAAATTATGTGGTTCACCAAGGGTATGTCAACAAAATTATTAGCTCCAGCTGTGTATGTACATATGCATTTCATGTGCATTCATGCAAATGTAATATGACATTGTTGTGTTTTTTTGTTTGTTCTGCATGGCATATTGTTGTTAGTCTTTTTGTTGTACTTGCCATGTATTTTAAATAGGGCTGTCAAACGATTAATCACGATTAATCGCATCCAAAATAAATATATGTGGGTGCACTGTGTATAATTATTTTATATATATAAATACACATACATGCTTGTATATATTTAAGAAATATTTTCATGTATACTGTATAGATTTATATATAATTTATATTATATATAAATATAAATATTTTATATATAAATAATATTTTTTCTTAAATATACATGCATGTGTGTCTATTTATATATATATAATAATTATACACAGTGCACCCACATATATTATGTAAACACAAACTTTTATTTTGGATGCGATTAATCGCGATTAATCGTTTGACAGCCCTAATTTTAAATATTTTTAGGTTTAAATAAATACATCCTCTTTGAATATTAAATTCCACTTTGATATTTGTTCACGTTGTGCTGTTTTGTATAGTAGATATTTCAAGGTGTGTTTTCATTTATGCCCCTTTAAGGCCCTGAATCTTCTAGGGCGTCTGAAATTCCTGCATGGACAGAACAGACGATTGGATGACGGAGGCCAAATGCCACCCCAGCTCGCCCTTTTTGCCATAGCAACGCCCCTACAGCCTCCTTCCATAATGGAGATCCGAACCAAGAACATGATTTTCAGAACCAAACACAAGTTGGACTTCACACCAATGGCCTGTGATGCTAAGTAATGATGATCAATTATTTTAATATATATACAAAATAACATGCACTGTGTGAAGGTGTTTTTATCCTAGTTATATCCTTCGTAATACAATATTAAATGGTACATTTTGGTTCTGCCTGTGTTTTAGGGGTAAAATCGTCCTTGGCTACACAGAGGCAGAGCTGCGAGTTCGAGGTTCAGGGTATCAGTTCATCCATGCAGCCGACATGCTCTACTGCGCCGAGAACCATGTCAGGAGTAAGATATTCCGATTTCTTCAGATTTGTCATCTCCGAGTTTTATTGCTCCGTTCACAAAGAAAGTTGGATTTAACCTTCAAGTTCAATTAACCAAGATTAAGATTCAGAAACTGTCTTTCTGCTGATGCATGCTGACATTGTTGCCAAAGGCTTGGTGTCTAAAATGAACTATAGTGAGAATAAAGGATATTAACCCTGTTTGCTTAGACAAATACTTGAAGAAGTGACAGTCCCCTCATTCAGTGTGGGGATTGATAGTCAATTTTATGGGCAAGATGTGTGTGGATTTGGTGAATTTGGTTTACCGCAAGAGTGGCGTACAAAAGAGTCAAATAGACAGAGCGAGAGAAAGGAAGAGGAATGTTTTCTGGGGGTGCAACGGTACACAGAAGTCACGGTTCGGTTTATACCTCGGTTCAGACATCACAGTTCGGTGGAGGGAAAAGCAAAACAAAAATGCTGAAGGCAAATGCCTGAAGTCTCAGGATATACCACCTAGTGTATTACTACATTTGAGTAATTCATGTAATTAATTATAATAATGTTATTTTTATTATACATAAAATACATAATACATAAAAATAAACAATTAGTGTTCTCTTTGAGGACAAGAAATGAAAACCAATGCAATATGATGAATGTCCAAAAGATGGTTCCCACAAATAGATAAGATAACTGTACGTTCACACCGCCGCCGACTTGAGCGTCAAGGTCAAGGACGCTTGTCAAAAAGTACGGGGAAGCTTGTTGACGCTTTGGACGCTTTGACGTTGCTGGGAGAATAGAAGTGTCACAACATGAAATGTAATAAACAGAAAAAAACAAGCAATACATTGAAGAAACCTTTTATAATGACAGCATTTTTATAACCATTTTGGTCACATTTGGTCAGGGAAAAAAATAGTTAGCTATTATTATTGCGGTCAAATCAGTGTCACCGTGAGCAAATTAATTGCAATCCCGCTTTAAGACGAGCGTTCGTAAATATTTCAAAATAAAAGTTGCGCTCATGCGGTCCCTATAAGCAAACAACGTCATGTCATAAATGATACGAAACCCGTAGGAAACACAGCTTTTCTTCCATTTTCTCAGGGCTAATGTTTTGGTAGGAACGAAAGTTTACATTCATGTTTCTCCGGAATCTGCCAGCGTGAATGACGTCTATATTCCGATTGGTTGCTGGCGTTGCTTGCCGCTGAACCGCGTCACAGCTCATTACCATAAAGTTGAGCATTTTTCAACTTTCTGATTGACGCTCAAAACGGCCATCCAAAACGCCAACGATTTGACGCTCTTTGTCGCTGAGAAAAGCCAGCTTGCATTAAGCCCTAAATCCAGTATTCAATATGGATCAGTCTATAGAGATCTGGTCTATATAAAGTATATAAAGATCTGGTCTATACATTTCAACTGGGTTTACAAACTGTTGCATTGTCCTTTGCAGTGATCAAGACTGGAGAAAGTGGCCTGACTGTGTTTAGACTGCTTACAAAGGACAACCGTTGGAAATGGGTACAAGCTAATGCTAGACTTGTCTACAAAAATGGCAAGCCCGACTACATCATTGCCACCCAGAGGCCGCTTGTGTAAGTAAAAGGCTAATACCCATCTATGTCAACAGAATACAAAATAGTTCATTAGCATGCTAGTGTCCACCTTTGAACTGTTAAATAGCATGGCAAATTAGCAAGAGTTTGATGAAAGTACTTTTTACACGTCCACCGAAAAAGTTCTTTTATTCATTTATTCAGAGAAGAAGAGGGCGGAGAGCATTTGAGGAAGCGATCTATGCATCCTTTCACCTTTGCAACTGGAGAAGCAATGCTGTACCAAATCAGCTACCCCATGCCAGGCTTCCCCGACACCCTTCAGGGCAAGGGCAAGAACAACAAAACCAAAAAGACCAAGGTGGACAAAAGCTCAAAGGATGACGTGGACCCAAGTTCTCTGCTGGGAGCCATGATGAGACAGGACGAGTCTGTTTATGTTTGCCAGCCTGCTATGGAGCCAAGAATGTCATTCCACAGTAGCCTCTTCAATGAGCAAGGAGAGACTAGCACTTTCTCTTCTTCCGAGAATGAAAGTTGGAATCCGGTGCAGAATGGTGTAACCGTAGTCTCCAAACTGGAGCCATCAAGTTTTGACCCACTACTGGCAACATTAGACTCTCTGTCCCTGGAAACTGAGGAGAGCTGCTCTAACAGTGAGCTATTCAGTGCCCTGGAAAATCTTGGACTCAACGCAGAGGACCTGGAGTTGCTGCTTCTGGATGAGAGGATGATCCAAGTAGAGATGGAACCGGATTACATTCCATCTCTGAATGATCTTCTCACCAATAATGAAATCCTCTCCTACGTCCACGACTCTCTGGAGAACCGGATAGAGGACTCGGCAGATGCCGCAGCATCAGATTCTGTTGAACCCCCGAAGACATGTTCTGCTCCCGACTCACTACCTGCTCCTCACATCCCTTTCTGGCCTCAAAAACAGATAGCACCCATAATTCATCTCTCACAGCGTATGCAGCAACATCTCAATGGCCAGTCGGTTTGCCACAAGTCCGAGAGTTGGAACCAGGCGTCTACAACAGACTCTGAGACTCCTGCTTTTAACCAGCATGATACACTGTTGGTGAACTCAGTACCAGTTGAACACAATGGTCATTGGGTCTCTGAACACTCACAAGCCAACTTGAACTCTAAACTTGGTGACAAGATAACTAGTAAAGCACAGCCACCGCAATGGCAGCACAACCAGTTGCTTGTCCCATTCCAGTATAAACAGAAAACAGTTGAAGATAGTGACACCCCTCCGAATGGGGTCTACGACGATCCCCAGTGGCATGGATACAACTTCACAGAGCAATTGGTCTCAAATCGACCTTGTTTTCCCAATGGCCAAAAGGCACACACTCAGACATTGGGTACCCATGTTGACTGCAATATGACTGACAATTCAGAGGTGGATTTTACAATGAACAGCAGTTCAGCTGTGGATGCAGGGCAGTTTCAGGCAGCCATGGCTTGGTCTTCGTCCCATCAACAGGGTTATCAGAAACAGCAGCAGCAGCCAAAGTTTGCACCCAATTATTACGCCTCTTATACCAAACAGAACTCCTCTCTGGAGCATATCCTGGGATTAGTCACACCTTCAAACCTTCCCTCATTGACAGATTATGGCTCTGAACTGACCCATGACACCACCCACAGTAAGGTAAGAATTAAAGAAGGATGTAGTCGCACAGTGCGATTTAACCAAGATGGACAAGCTCCTGGATCAACATTGCTAGGCCAAAACTTATCCTTAACCACAACCCGAAGTACACCCCCAATTCCTGATTTCAGATTGTTAATGAATGGTTGATACGAATGTTGCTCAAGCCCCTAATCCTAAAAATGTATGGGTTGATCAGAGAGATCACGAAGATCAGGGAAACTAAAGATATTGCATTAGCCTTAACCTAACATTTCATGTAATGGTAAGCTTCCTTCTGACCACCCTTTACAATCTTCATGTGATGTTGAGACAACTTTGATTGTCTAGGATAGTAGTTTAAAGATAGTCTGGGGTCTAAACCCTGACACGGCCCACTCCACCCCCTCCATATTTCTATCTCTTTATTTCCATTGGCCTAAATGCTCACTCTGACCTAATTGTGCTCTGTATAAGAGACCAAGATCTGATGGGTCAAATCTAATGTGTTGAGATTGCATAATACACAGTGACAGACCTAGAAAGTCTTGTCAGTCTCTGGGGATTCGCTGTGGGGCCCCACACAGGTGGATGTTTGCTTTGCCTGCTGTGTTGCTTTATCATGGTGACTGTGGTTAAGAGTGTAATCTTCATCTTAAGAGTTTAAGCTTCCAGCCAGGTCAACCCACCAGCATTTTCCGCTGTACTGATGGCAGCCAACTGTAGCATCTAGTCTATTGTAAATGGGGAGCCCAAGGCTATAAAGGAGAGATAGAGGAAGAGAAGCCTCCACAAAAGGACCGCTCATGCAGCAGGCAATATTCTGAGACCATGGGCCCCTGTCTGCACTCATTTATCCAGACAGTCTTGCCTTTCCACATGTAGGGCACCATGCTGTTGTTCCACATATAGGGATTGTGCTTTCTGTTGATTGTAAGCAGTGCTTGGTGCACGACACATCCGTTGTTGTTTGTGCTACAGCCATAAATTATATCTAAAATTGTGTGGCTTGTTGAGGAAGAGGGGTGCTATTACTTTTATGAGCATTTAGACTTTCACTTCACCCGCCAGAGTCTAGACCTCAAAGACTCTTACAGAGAATTGTGGTGGGCTGTTTTGACATGACAAATCATGCAGTTGCACTTCAACGACCTGACATTGTGGTGGTGACTTTTGCACTGTCTATTGGCTAGTTTTTAAATATGCATGTTATTATATAAGAAAATGTGAGCAACTTTTGCTGACAAAAAAAGAGGGATATGGATAGAAATAATTTGAAAATGGGAATGAGGATGAGGATGTTAAACAGAGAAGTGAAAGGGAGACAATTCAGTCAATGTCCAGCACTAAATTCTGGGCTTTGGGTATGTGTCTGTATTCAGGGTCATTGCTCTCAGCTGAAAGGAGAATAGAGCTTAAATGCCCAGTCAGGCATGATCAGCTATGACCTACAATCCGGCATCAACATTACCTCATGCATACTAAAACTGTACTTTCAAATACTAGCCATTAGAGCTTTGTGATTTTGCCAGGGATTTACTTATCATCTGCACATTCCTACATCATCCCAAAAATATATGAATAAATGAATGATGAGTTGTTCAATTTCTTGAAAGATTTTCTGTTATTCGTGTAATTGCTTATATCAAGTCTTGTCTGTGGTGTTGATCCATGTTAAAACTATGAGCAGAATTATTAGTGAGGGTTAGAATTGCTGTCATGAAGCTAAACCAAGTTTATGAATGCATTTCAAAGTCTATCTTTAAGATTAGTTTTGGTTAGCATGTTGAATGTAGTTATTTTTTATGAGTTAGCTTCTTAAAAACAGCATTAGTTTGTGTTTCTAAATGTGATCCTGTTGAATGTGTAACGGTACGTAGGCTAGTAAGAGTTTTGCATTTAAACCTCACTCCCCTAGACTCAAGAAGCGAGCTAGCGACTGACACTAATGGCTGCGGTCTGTAGTGTCCTTGTTAACACACCCATTTCCCGCACCGGAAACACCAGTTCCACTCCCACTCGGAGTGGGACGAATGCATTGAAGACCTTAAATGACCCCATCTAATACAACATCTGTTGTCCAGCTGCCATTATTAACCTACTTAAATAAGCAACCACTGCGCTAGTGGCATAAGTGAGCTCTATAATTTAGGTCAAAATTAGAGAAGTCACTAATGAGTTAAAGGAGAACTCCGGCGCAAAATGAACCTTTGGTCTAATTACACATTGGTACCTAGTCGACCGTTCTCTGAGATTTGTTTTCATGATAATTTAATGTAAAGAGTTGTATCTCTAAAAACTGTTAGCGTATACACTAGTATATGGGGGCATATAATAAGTAAAGAGAAATCGCTAGTTTATACCACTAACAAGGCTCAAAATATCCCCACACTAACACAGTAACATAATCAGGGTCCATGCATTCAAAATTAAGCATTGAGAACTTTGTAAGAGTACAGATCGTTTAATAAGAAGATACTTTATAAAGACAGTCCACTGCGTGTATACAGGCAGCAGCCATCTTTTGAAAACAGTCTCGATGGGTCGAACCACGAACAACGTGCCAAGTGAGCTGAACTGTATGAAGTAGGGACCCTCATTATGTTACTGTGTTAGTGTGGGGCTATTTTGAGCCTTGTTAGTGATATTAAGAACCGATTTCTTTTTACTTATTATATGCCCCCATATACTAGCATTATACTCTAACAGTTTTTAGAGATAAAACTCTTTACATTCGATTACCATGAAAACAAATCTTAGAGAACGATCAACTTGGTACCAATGTGTAATTAATTAGACCAAAGGTTCATTTTGCGCTGGAGTTCTCCTTTAAGCTAATGAGTTGTCCTGGTTGGCTAACACTATATGTAGGGTTGGGTATCGTTTGAATTTGAACGATTCTGATTCCGTTTCCGATTCCTTGTTTCGATTCCGGTTCCTAACGATTCTCGATTCCGATTCTTTTAAGAGGCAGGGTCAAAAAAGTTTAGCTAACCTTCCTAACCAACGGTCTTTCTGAAGGAAATAATCCTTTCCGAAGGAAATACTCCTTCTGTCACAAATACTCCTTTTGTCACAAATTTTGCATTTTGCCAAGATTTTGTTATTTTTAGAAAAGTGAAGCCACACTTTGGACCGCCGACGTAAGCTACTCATGTTCGACTCGCGCGGTTATGCCAACACTTCCGGTAGACGCTTCTTCGTTGGTGTTGTTCAGCGGTTTCTTCTTCCGCTCGGCGGACTGTGAATATCGAAACTAGGAATCGAAATTTTAACTTTTGAACGATTCCGGGAAAAACGAAAAGTTAGTCCCGATTCCAATCGATACTCGATTCTCGATACCCAACCCTAACTATATGACTCTTAAAAGCTATGTTTAGCTAACCTAACAGAAGCCACGTGGCACATTTTATATTCAAATTTTGGAAATTTTGAAGGACAATGTTCATTTGTGAGATTCACTCTAACCTTTTTAGCTAGATACATTTGCTGCATTCGCAACCATGCCGTAAATACGAGATGACAACACGTGTTGTTCTGCCAAACCAATGGCAAAAATAAATCGTGTTCCACAGCAAAGTAAATGCTTTTTACAAGTCAGAATCTCATAATTGCGACATGGCGAGAACGCACCTTTTCACTTTTAGCTAGCTTTTTAGCTAAACACTTCTAACATTTTGTGTTTTTGTTTGTTTTCAGATGGAGACAGGCTTTATACTCAACTCCACTAGTGTGGCCTACTCAGGAAGTTGTTTGGTTCCCAACGGCAATGCAGTGGCCACACCCGGCAACAGTCCCCACCCCCTTCCTGAGCCCCTCCTACCTCCCCCAGACCCTCAGACTACTGGTTTATACCTCTGAACACACTTGATAAAGATCCGTCCGTAGAGATGCCATCAATCACGAGAAGACTATCAAACAAAACATTTTAAAAAAAAAAAAAACTTGAATTGCTTACCAACTTGAATTACATTAATTTAAATTCAAATGAGCCAGATTGACCTCTGGAATATCAAAATAATCCACCCAACATAATGTGATGGTATTCTCATTGATTTTTCTTTTTCTTTTTTTTCTCTAAGTGTCATTATCTACTGCTGCTTTGTGAGATGTAGGGAAATGTTCCAGTTGGCAGATGCAGTTGAGAAAATCAGGTGCGTGGTATGTACGTGTGAGTGTGTCGACGCCAATCGCCAATCACTGGGCCACGTTCAATGAACACGAGCTGCACAAATGTTGTTCGTAAAAATCATGCTTGCGTGACTGTAAATCACGTCGAGAGCACATGCAACGTATAGCTCTTGCAAAACTGATTGTCCTGAATCGCAGTAAATGACTGATGTTTATATGAACAGAAGATTGGGATGCATATTTATTTATGGAAAAAAGCAAGGGTGTAACCGACTGTTTAACGTCAATTATAAAGCAGTTAGCAGTACGAAAAAGAGTGAGACTTCTCTCGCTGTAGATGTCACATGTAGATCTGAACCCTTCTCACTGTTACATTTTGTGAGATTAGATTATGGAAAGATGATTCTAGATCAACTTTACAAATCAACTTACCTTTTAGATACAGGTGTTCATGTGTATAGTGATTCCAGAACTAACCCAGTCTCGCGACGAAGGCGCAATAATTTGAATTAGAATCGGGCAATGTCATCAAATTTTAACGTACAATTGACTTGTACATGTTCTATTGACTTTAAATTGTTTTTAATTGGTTGATTTTGTACAAGCCAACTTGCATGTAATATATTACAAACTCGCTTTGATTTGTCTCATTGTAAAGAAAATCGTACATGCCTACTATTAAGATTTTAATACAAATTATTATGCTTTTGTCATTAGACTATGTTGTTCGTAACTTACCAATAATGCATTTCTAAAAAAAAAAAAAAAAAAAAACAGTTCAAGAGCAGGGTATTTGTCTATGAAAAGAGATTCTGGAAGCTTACATTGTTGAATGTGTTGAGTATATTGTAAAGCAGTTAAAAAAAGAAAAACAATATGGTGCTGAAAGGTGTTTAATGAATAAAAGTGTTAATTGTTAATAGTATTATGAAGTCACTGAGAAAATGAACCTCCAGGCCAGCTTCTTTGTTTTTACGTTTCTTTTTAAAATACATATATACGCTGTATTTACAGACATTTCTTATAAGAGTTACCACTGGCTCATCTATGAATTGAAATTTCTTTAACACGTATATGAGAAAACAATATGACAATCATTTACAAAAGAGTACAAGTTTGTAAATAGTCAAAAAACTTATTTCATATTGTCGTAAGCACTATTTTAAAGAGCACTGCAACCTAACCAGGTTTTACTTTTTAATCCGGCACAAGATGTAGGCTTCTAGAGAGATGTTTTTTGGAGTAAATATTGTATAATTTTTTCAGGTAATGTGTTCTGTTTGTATATTTTACGAAGAAGTTTTACACTTTAAATAAAATTTAAAAAAAAAAAACATGGTGCCATACTGGTCAATTTTATTTTCCAGAATTGAAATGTTTTAATATTTGTTTAGAAATGTCAATGATTTGCCATGTTTTTTTTTTTTTTCTTCCATGTTTGATTTTTTTTAAATCACATTTGGATTTATTTGAATATTCTAACACACTGAAAGTAGGCGAGACGATAGGTACAAATGCAGTTCTGTCTTTTTGTCATTTGACTGCTTGTTGAAATGTACAATTTGGTCCTTTAATTAAAGAATTTGTGCAATCACAATAGGTCTCACGATCATTTCTTCTAAATCTTGTCATTTGAAAAAAAATCTTGGTTTCAAATTTTGCATATATTACGTATTTAAATGGTAAATGATTGAATTGAACCATTGAACCACCAATCTTCTGGTTTGTAGACTGCCGCCCCAACAAATTTAACAAATGTTCTCTTCGTCTGATCCCAATTTGTATTTATTTTCTACTGAAACCAAGGTGTTATACCTAGATAAAGTTACAGCGTCTACCAGTACAGGCTAACGTTTCCTGTTTCAACAGAAATTTAGGGCGGGACATATTGATGGGTGTGTCAGCGTAGACCATGAGTCACCATGAAATCAGAATCAACTATTCCTATATTTTATTGAATATTGCAGCATTTATTATACATTATTTATCTGCACACATCATGATTTTTGATAAATTCATGTAGCCTCGCAAACTTCTAACTCGCTAATCAAAATAACTTTAATCTCTCGCGCAGCAACATCTCTTCTCTGTTTGACGTGTTTACTGATCGACCAATAGCAAACCACAACGATCCAATTAATTCCCATTGGACAAAATCAAGTCCCGCCCTACATTTTTTTCTTGTTAGAGAAGCTTTTTACTCAGATATACGTCACAAAAGGGAAGAAAAGTCTATCGCAATTTAGTATTAGTGTTAGCTTAGCAACATGCTAATGTTAAAACTTGTCAACTGTGAATCAAATCTTTCTTCTCTTCATGAACACTATTTGCGTAACCTGTCTAGCCTATGTAGAGCTCTAAATCTTTTGATTGGTGAATGATACAATTTTGAAACAGCTACATTACATAATAGTCGCTAATACAACGCAGTTTAGCAGCATGCGTAAACTTTCTCCGTTTTTAGTGGTGAAATTGCTACGGAATGCACATTTACTCATTGCTGTACAAATACTAATTTTATTTTACCTTTAAATGAGATTCCTGTTCATAGTTCCCAGAGAGACTGTGTGTGGCGCGAGGCCGGTGGCGTAATTGATAATTAGCGACATCTGCGCAACTTTCGTATCTCTCACGGTAGAGCGGAAGCATAAAAGGAGGAGCGAAGACAGTGAAGATTGAGAGAGGAACAGGCCTGAACTTATGTTGTGTTTTGTTTTATTATTTGTGACAGCAGTCTTTCGTTTTGTTGTTTGGTTATTTTACATTCTTAAAGTCTTTGAATGTTCGCCAGTTCCCGCCTCCTTCTTCCCACAACGTCTTACTTTTCTACACTCGGCTTGGTGTAAATGCGGCCGTCTCACCAGATTCAAACATTCCCTCTCAGCGCTTTTATCCTCAAGTCTGTATTGACCGTGCCACGGAGAGAACGAAATGGCTCCTTTTCACACCTAGCATGGTGTGAAGAACATGGCTGGCTGAAAGCAAACAAACATATAGGGGTGGGCCAGATCGCCACAGGAGACTACACAAACTCCCACCTGAAGAAGTCAGCAAGTGCCACAGGAAGTCGAGCTAAGACAGATTATTCACCAACAAAACTAAATTTCAGTCTGTTTCTCGCACTATCCAATGCTAAAATCTACCTAGAAAACTTTAGCAAGCGCAGAGAAAATTCAGGCCTAGTTTATATTTGTGTTGTCAAGTGGATTGCAGCTTCTAAATAATACAAATCTCTCTTTCTCTGTATCGGTGTGTGATTTCTGTACACTTGTGACATGATCAGTCGCTCGAGAGTAATGCTAACACTCCTCCGTCTCCCGTTAGCCATAGCAGCAGAAGCAGACAAAACAGAGATGTAGAGAGAGGGGAACAGAGATCCCTGGAGATAGAGCCAGACAGGGAAAGAAAGACCGGAATGGGAAGAGGAAGTGGCCCGGGGCTAGAGAGGAAGGGACACAAGCGTTAGAAATGTGTAAAGAGAAGGAATGGAAGTGTTTATAATCACGATAATACATTGAAATAATATGGTAACCTATATTGTTTACAGTTTGCAATGTCAAGTAGCATAACAGACTGTTTTAGTACGGTTAAAATACATTAATACATACATAGATTAAAAATAAGGTCAATAGGCCAAGTCAAAGAATGTGTTATTAACTTAATAGAATTCAAAGAACAATTATTCAACATACATATACAACTTATTTCAAGTGTGGTCAGTTAAACTGCTACAATCTGAGATTAGCGCCTGATTGAAATGTGTGGGTGGCTTACTAGCTAGATAGCTTCCTTCTAAGGCAGCAGTAAGTGGAAGTGAACCTTATGTGACTGATTTGGAACTCCCTAAACAGGAAGCACACTGCAGACTTGACTCCTGTAGAGTTTGGTGTTAGCATGCGGCTAAGCTAGCAACACTAAAACTCTCGGTTTCACAGACAGCTAAGTCTATACCAGACTAAAATGCATGTTTTAACTGGAAGCAACTTGCACTGATAAATGTTTTTTATGCACACCTGTAATGTTTTTTTTAAGGCACGATCGTAAGAGCTAAAATGTCCCTATTTAAACAAGACCTTCTCCTTGCTTAGTCTAACTACAGCCTCAAAGTTTAGCATACATACATATTGGGTACATCTTTGTATGAAGCAAACATAAAAAAATGCTTTTTTTTCTGTCTATGTGGTGCACCAGGATCACTTTTAATATTCAGAAAGACTAGCATTCCAACCATTTAGCATTTATTAGTAATGTGTTCACTGCTTTTAAAGGAAAAGTTTGCCTAAAAGTTTTAATTTACTCACCCTTATTTTTTTTAAACCCTAGCTTATCAGCCATCTAGATCAGCTAATGACCATAAAGTGCAATAGCCGTTTTAAACCAGCTACCACCTAGTCCCGCGGGATTTCAGCAGGGTTGGGGAGTTTTTAATCCTTTCAAGACAAATTAAATTCAGACATTTTCCAGAAATCATTTTTTTCCCCTAATAAATGTCAGACAAAATGCCATTGTCATAAAACGTTCAACTATTTTCAGATGCTACAAACAGTTTTCAGATGCACACAGTTATGTGACAGTTTGTATTTATTGAAATGTTTTCTACTTTACCACATAACACAGAAAATTACCATGGTTTTAAGATATAGTACCATGATTATACTCTTAATTTTTGGATATATATTATATTCATACCCAGGGTTATGTTATACTGGCAGCTAGCAGCTAGTAAAAAGTAGCTAGCTACCAAGCTAACGCCTGCTGATGTGTAAATAAGTGGTTTCAAATCCTATTTATTGGATTTTATTCCTGAATATTCAGTAGTGTTGTCCTTGGATTGGATTTGATGCGTTTTATATCATGTGAATGTGATATTAGCAAGCAGCAACACACAGACTAAATGTGATATCTGTTTTGAAGTTTAGGAAGCTAAAAGTTAGCTAAACATTCAGTGAGGTGAATATTAGCTTGTATTTTTTTTTTTTTTTTTTTTTTTTTTTACTGTGGTACAGCACCTAACCAAGTAAAAACATTGTTTATGATTCAATATTCTGGCATTTATCATACTACAGTATTGCTGATCTGATTCACTGATACCATGGTATCACCACAGTATTTTTTGTAAAGGATGTAACTTTCTCTCTCGCCGCCTGGCTCTGGCCCCAGACTGAGGTGTCTGCTCATGTTTGGTAGTGAGGATGAGTCGAGTCATCTCCTCTCCGGGAACCCGCGGGCTCCTGTGCACTGTCTGCTTGACTCTCACGCAAGGCTGTCTGTCATGTCCCTGCGCTACACACCCCAAAAACAGAAAAAGAGCAAAATTTCATTTATTGTTGCCCAGCGGTTCATTTACAGCGAAGGAAGGTGATGTTTCTATCCAACCTTCGCTTTCCCAGGCCTGGCATCTCTTCACGACGTGTTAACAATGTTGCACGTCTATTTAGAGTTTTGTTAGCCAATAAATGTGCACACCGCAAAGCCAGTTTCCCAGACACCGGTTAAGTTTCTAGGCTAAATTGTGCTATCAACAGGGATTTTTCTTTAAAAGTAAAGAACTTGGGTCGTTTTCACAGATAATTGAACTTCTTATTCTGAAACGCTTTCTTTTCCTCAGTACATTAGCATCAACACTAGCACTGTGCTAGCATTAGCCATTTCAGTAACAACACAGCACTCAGTACAAACTCATTTGAGAAATGGCAGCAGTTGATCACTTCGAGTCTGCATGGGTCAACTAGTTAGAGATTGGCCTTTCCCTCAGATATTAAACCGTTTTGTTGTATTGTCTTTGGTATTTTCAATGATTTCATGGCCACTTCACTCCAAATCGCTAAGAAAGACTGTTGTTACACAAGACACTTTTACATCCTCTCTCTTTTTCTCAACTGCCTTCAGTCTGCCAATAGCTATTAGTTCAACTACATCTCTCCGGCCTCACTTTTCATTCCAGCTCAATTGATTTTTTTTTTTTTTTTCAGTCTGCTGATGAAAGGGCCGACCGGTGCTATCATAATTCAATGCAGGCCTCTGAAAGTAGGTGACTGAGGACCACTGTGTGTAACACTTGATTCTGGCCTACCATCTTACCCTTCAAATCAAGTTATTGTATTTCCAGTGTCATAGAAACAAAATTAAACCTCCCTCCCTTCTTTCTTTCTTTCTTTCTTTCTTTCTTTCTTTCTTTCTTTCTTTCTTTCTTTCTTTCTTTCTTTCTTTCTTTCAAAACACCCTTTTAAACACTCTGTAAATTCTACTGCTTTTGGTCTGTGATCTTTTCCCCCCCAATTTAACTGTGTAAAGCAATTTTGAGCTTTGAAAAGGCACTATAAAATAATATTATTATTATTTGTAGAAGCCTGTTAATTGAAATTTTGTGATTTTAATTTCTCCCAAAATTTTCTTGCATTACAAAAAAATGAAAACACAAGACAGAATGCAGGAATTAAATTGTACAAGCAAGTCTCAAATTTTAGAGTTAAAAAAGAGCATTTGAGGCAAACCTCAAAGAAAATTGATAGCAAATAAACCAGCTCATATCATATTTGTTTATATAATATTTCATATTAATTCTCTGAATGTTAAGCACCTTCTTATCTAAAATGCTTATTCACTGGTCAGTCATACAGTGTTAATATTATTACTATAGTAGTATTATAATATTCATATTTTTAACTTTTATTTTTATATTTTCAGTTTTCATTTTAAATTTAAAATCTTGTTTTGTGTCTTTTTAGTTATCTCTAATTAGCTTTATGTTTTATTTTAGTATTTGTTTATTTTAGTAGCCTAATTCTTCGATTTATATTAGGCCTATTTGAGTTATTAATATTTCATAATTCATCTTACAGTTATCTAATTTATTTGATTGCTTTTCAGCTTTATTTCAACCAGAAACATTTTTTAATTTGAACGTTTAGTTGACGTTTTAGTTAACCATATCAACACTCTGTATTTATCTAAGACACACACACACGCGCGCGCACGCACAAGCACACATGGATTTGAAGCACATGATATTCGACTGTTGCAGATCAGTGGGAGTCTCTGGGAGAGATTGGATATGGTGTTTGGGGACGAATGGAGGTAAAAGATCAATACTGGAATCAAAGGTGTGTGAAGAGCAGAAATATAGAGCGCGTGTGTGTATGTCTCTCACACTTCCGCTAGTCCTGTTCCCATCTCGGTCTCGTTGATGGCTTGTCCAGTATCGTCCATTATGGCTTCACTCTCTCAGCAGGGGTCACAGCAGCAGGGGTTTGTGTCGTTTGTGTCGTTTGTGTGTGTGTGTGTGTGTGTGTGTGTGTGTGTGTGTGTGTGTGTGTGTGTGTGTGTGTGTGTGTGTGTGTGTGTGTGTGTGTGGAAGCAGGGCACAGTCTCAACTCTCAAGGGCGAGTCAGGACATTATGCCCGCGAGTTACCCCTTTATTCAGACCAGACTTTACCAACGGATATCATATATAAATATACTGTAAAAAATAATCCTGTAAAAAAAAAAAAAAAAGGTAAATTAGCTTTATGGTTGACAGCATCATACCGTAAAAATACAGTGTCTTGCTGTTTTGGAAATTTACAGCTAAATAACGTATTGTCAGCTACAGTATAAAACGTATAGTACTGTGCATGTCCGAGTTTTCATATACATTAACTAGATTTTTAAAAAGACATACTGTACCATCACTTCTTATGATTTCATGAATGAGGCGATACAAAAAAAAAGTGGCTTGTATAGATTTTATAGTTTCTGTATTGAAGTCTATATAAGGGTACAATTTAACAGGTATATTTTGCTATTAAGCTACACTTCTGATGTATTTTGCTTTACATTCATACAGTAGGTCGTTTTCTGAGGGAGTTCAGGTATGCTGTACATTGACCTTTCCCGAGAACATACAGTAAGTGAATATTGGCCTTCAGCTTGTCCTCCGAGTCCCCGTGCCACAACGACTCCAGTCACAGTCACGGTCCGCCACGTTTCACAGGACACAGTGGAAAAACGAATATCAAATATTAATACAGCCCGTGTCCCAGAAGGCCAACCATGCCTCCCACTCCTCTAACCAGACTCCATCTCTTCTAGAAGATTCAATTGAATACTGTGCCCTTTTAAGACTTCCACCATATATGTAAATGACCTCTGTTCTTCTGTTACCACTAATGAGACTGACTGTTTGTGGCTCCTCTGACCAATAAACTATTTTATTTGGCATCTGCCCTTGGCCATTTTAATACTGTGGTATCCATTCCGACCTCTCCGTGGGATCTTAATTATGTGTAACGGGATCACTGTGTTCCTGTGCTTTAGCAGTAATGACCGTTTTTTAGATTTCCAAGCTGAAATTAAATGATTATAAATGATTCACCCGGACTTAAATGCCAGGTTATTAAGACTACAGCTGTGCTATCTTTATTAGGAGTTCTGATTAAGGTAATCATCACTATAACTACAACTCACCACCAAACCCTTTTCTGCAGGTTATACATCGATACGCCAGTAGGTGGCGACAAGACTGGATTTATGAGCGACAGATTAAATTCATCTTTTGTGTTCAACAGAAGAAAGAAAATCTTACTGGGTTGGAACAACATGAGGGTGAGTAAATGATGACACATTTTTGTGGGGTGAACTATCCCTTTAAGGTGTTTTTTCTGTTGTTAACTTTCATAATGTAGTGACCTGAACACACCAGATGAGTCAGTCTCATGATTGTTCAAATGCTCAAAGGAAGCGTAAACAAGGAAAGAAAAGCAAAAGACTCACTCATAATATTTTGATAGGACTTGGACATTAACACTTGTCTTGACTGTACTGATTTGTCAACATATTTTAATACACACACATATTTATATACTATATAGTACTTATTTCCATATATTTATATTTTATTAACGGGGGCTGTCAAGAAAGATCCGAAAAATTGACAGGGGAAAGGAACTAGATGTTCCTCCTAAAATCGTTATTTCTTCCATCACTGCTTCTGTTTTATTGTGTTTTTGAGGATACGAAGCTTTCATTTTAATTGTTCAAATACTTACGTCAAGATCCATTAGTTTTGATGCTAACATTTCAGCGTTCTGCTACGCTCAGACGCTTGTGCTGTGCTATCCAGACAGTATTTATTCAAAACGAGCTCGATTCCCATTCTTAGTCATCCGAACTGGTTTCCCGAGGGGAAACTTACTCTGAAAAACAGGAAAATTGTTGCACAGTTCAAAGAGGACCTGTTTTAATCAATCCAACAGCTCCCATGAGCACAGAGTGGGGCCCCGGCAAATTCTTAGCTTGTACGTCACAGAATTTATTTCCTACAAAACGATTTAGTCTAAAGACTAAAGTCTGCTCTTTTCTTAAGGTCACACACCTCTATGGAAAACAGCAGTGTGCAAGTTTATACAGAAGACAAACATGGAGCCACACTCAGGGTTTCTCTAACTTTGGGTGTTTTTCCCAGCTGTTGATTTTTATTGAAATCAACACATTTCAGCATTCTTCTTTACAAACATCAGTCTATTATGGTTTTTCGGATATTACCTTTTTTGTGAAAGTACAAGGTCTTCAAAGTTTCCAAAATCTTAATTTTATTTTTTTCTTAGTTACTGTCTCCCAAAAGAAAGAATCAAATCTAAACTGCCTGGAACGAGTTGTTAGTAATTCCAGTCTCAATTCCTGTTACAAACATATGTAGTTTTGAAACAGATTTGCATAATGGAAGCCTATGGTCTTCTTGGGCTACCTGTAAACAACTTTGACCCGCTCTCAAAAAATGTATTTGTTGTATCACAGTGTATCAAGTGCTGAGGAAGCTTTGGAGATGAAATCCAGATATGGTAATGGAATTTTAATTTCCAGCACGTGCTATAAGCAGTAGACCAATCACAACAGACTGGGTCATCTGACCAATCAGAGCAGAGTAGTCCAATCACAACAGACTGGGTCATCTGACCAATCAGAGCAGAGTAAACAGTTAACAGGCCCCATTGAGTAAATACTATGGTCAATCATATCTTATGGTCAATACTATCAATACAATACTAAGTCAATGGGGTCCATCGACTGTCTGGTTACCGACATTCTTCAAAATATCTTCTTTTGTGTTGAGCAAAAATGAATTGCCTGTTTAAATGACAAACATCTTGGCCTTTAAGAAAATACCTCCACATAAATTGCGGGAAACCTAGTAATTGTCACCATTCTTGGCAATATGCCACCGGTAATTTCCTGAATTTAATTAACCAAGACAAAAAAAAAAAAAAAAAACACCCCAAAAAAATCTTTCTGCTTTGTGTAATTGTGTTTAGCATTTCTCTATCAATATGATTAAAGAAAAAAATACAGCATCTCTCTAAGCATGTCTTTTTCATGTTTATTTGAATCTATCAAAGGCGCTAAGATTTACAGGTTACAGCTGTGCTGCAACCAATAATGGAAACAAAAGAGTGACTTTTTTGTTGTTTTTAGTCTCTCTAAAATATCTTTCATCCCACACTGTTCATACTACAAACCTGAATAATACTCAAATCATGTGAAAAAATCCTTTAGCCACTTAACAACACATTAGCAACCAGACACAGAACAGCATAATTAGCATTTTGCTAACAACCACTCAAAACCCTTCAAGAACATAAAAAAGTTTAAATAACACTGTTATCTTTTTAATTTCAAGCTCTGGAGTAAAATTCTCATCTAAACCGGCATTTCTTTTCAATTATAAGCAGAACTTGCTCAAAACAACATGGCTAACTCATTCCAGATTGGCAGGCAGGAGAAAACTGCTAATGCCACTTTTCTCTCTCACAGGAGCATTGTGTGCCAATTTAGGACATTTTACACCACAGAAATTGAAGCTTTGTGGTCAAAACAGAGCGTTTCTGGATGTAGTGTACTCGATGCGAACTGCAGATGTAAACAAGTGAATCAATGCACAGGGCAACAGAAAAACGGGCTTTATCCTCGAAGGTAAACAGTGAGGGAAAATATCTTCTATCTTCTCTGTTTTTCTTCCAGCCAAACAGATGAGCAGTCAATTAGCGACGTCATCGTGATGGAGGCAGATGTGAGGCAGTCGACGGAGTCTAAATATTTGCCCATGACTTATTTCGTGTCCTCGCTGACCTTTCATTTTTGTTCCGTTCTTTGAACCATTTGTTTTTCAGGGTTGTTGTTGTTGGATGTTGCTGAAGTTTGTCAGGTTTACGACCTTTCCAGTCCTACTCCTTAAAGGTACAGTGTGTATTTTTTTTACTGCTAAGCCTAACACTGCAACACTGGCTCAACCAATAAAGTGCAACTGTGCCCACCCACTTTTTTTCCCATTCATTTCTCCCATAGGGATTTCAAAAAAGTCTTCACTAAAGCATTTTAAGCCATGAACCAAGCTACGAGCTAAAGTCTATCAGGGCCTTTAGCATTAGCATCTTGTTATACTGTATATTCTCTTTAATATTTCTTGGTTTGTACATTTAAAAATGTGTCAGCTTCAGTGTTTTACCTTTCTTATTATAGAGTGCCGAAGTTATCACGTCACTTTGTAGGCCAAAACGCGGAAGTGAGTTAGCATTTTAGCACTCTCGGTCCCTCGCTCTAAAGTCTATGGGATTTTTTAATGGGTTTTTGCTAAATCGCCTGAAATAAGGTCTGCGGTGAAGAAAAAGCCTCTAAATATTTTCACGTTTTGATCTAGAACACACAGTTATAACCTGCTTTTGTTTTTTTTTTTACTTTATATACTCTTCAAAATGTATACATTTTGGATTATCTTGTAAAGATTATCTTGATAGACCAAACGTGTAAGGGTCACAACTCTTTGTTGAACACAGATCTTATTTTTTGCGATTTTCCAAAGTCCGAAAAGATTTTCCGAGTTTTCCTACAAAAGTGATGTCATCACTTCGGCATTGTGGTTAATAATAGCCCAAATAGCATGCTACATGCTACTACCTACAGTATGCATAGTGTCTGAGGTAACGCATTACAAGTAACTTTAGTTGCGTAATCAGATTACTTTTTTCAAGTAACTAGAAAAGTAACTTTTAACAGTAACTTTCCACAACACTGCCTATTCACATACATAAGCATATCATCCAAGCTCTTTTGCGTTATTTTCAATGTTGGGACACAAACTTATCCTAAGAACTAGCCGGCATGCAACAAAAATTTAGACATGTAAATGTTGTCTGTTATAGCATTCAGACAAAAATCGTTTACCTGTAAACGTAAAAAGCACATGGTTTCCAGTTTAAATACAGTGGTTTAGGGTTATGTATACAGTGGCTTTCCTCTCCTCTAGTAACCTTTTTCTTTGTCACTTTCAATCCTCTTTTCCCCTGCAGTAAAACACGAGGGGTGTTACATTTGATCTGTCTGTTTTAGTAAGTGTCTCTCTCTCTCACACTCTCTCTCTCTCTCTCTCTCCCGGCTGAGCTCTTGGCATTCCTACCCACATCATCAATGTCATTAGTTCAAAGTCTTTCCTTTTTTTTCACCGGACAGTCTGTCCACCATGGGATGTACAATCCTCTCTCTATATCTCTATATCCCCTCTGCCCCAGTTAACTTATTCCACCAGCATGAATGTAGGTAATCAGCTGTCGTGTCGCGCAGCTGTTTTTACTCGCAATTCTGCTTTGATTGAGTACTGGAGCCCCCTTTTATCATATAATATATAGTTTATACTATATTTAAAATGCCTTTTGGTGATTTAGTGGCTTTGAATATGAGTAATGAATAGGCCTACCATGGTTTTACTGATAATGCCATCACTGTACCATGGTCTGCAAACAATACTCTTTTGTAAGGGGATTTGACTTTCCAGTGAACCCTCTGTTTTTACTTTTAACTTCATTAGCAAACATCTGATTCATCCTGTGACTCATTAGAATCGGATGATTTAAGTTCATGTTCACTGTTTTTGAAGCATATGTTTACAGAACGGCTGGATGAGACTCAGTGAGACAGACAGAGAGAGAGAGGGGTGGTATTTTAAAGCTTTGTTATAAACATAATCTAATGGGTGGTCTTTTGTGCAGTTATCTATCTATGGCCCACTCATTGCGCCGGTCCGGGATCTCTGATGTTTTTCTCCCTAGTGCAATGATGTTTAAATATTAAACGCTGTTGACCTCTGCTGGTCGGGAAGTGAACTGCACAGACAGCATTGGTGCCAGCGTGACCTCTGGTGGCACTTTATGGACAACTGCTCATATGAACATCAAAAAGAGCAGAAAGTGTTGCTTCAGATAGATAGATAGATAGATAGATAGATAGATAGATAGATAGATAGATAGATAGATAGATAGATAGATAGATAGATAGATAGATAGATAGATAGATAGATAGATAGATAGATAGATAGATAGATAGATAGATAGATAGATAGATAGATAGATAGATAGATAGATAGATAGATAGATAGATGAAATATGGATAGATAGACAGACAGATATATTAGATAGATAGACAGACAGACAGGTGGACAGATAGATATATAGTCAGATAGATATATAGTCAGATAGATAGATAGATAGATAGATAGATAGATAGATAGATAGATAGATAGATAGATAGATAGATAGATAGATAGATAGATAGATAGATAGACAGGTGGACAGATAGATAGATAGATAGATAGATAGATAGATAGATAGATAGATAGATAGATAGATAGATAGATAGATAGATAGATAGATAGATAGATAGATAGACAGACAGACAGACAGGTGGACAGATAGATAGATAGATAGATAGATAGATAGATAGATAGATAGATAGATAGATAGATAGATAGATAGATAGATAGATAGATAGATAGATAGATAGATAGATAGATATATTAGATAGCTAGACAGATAGATAGATAGACAGACAGACAGACAGGTGGACAGAGATATATAGTCAGATAGATAAATAGACAGATAGATAGATAGATAGATAGATAGATAGATAGATAGATAGATAGATAGATAGATAGATAGATAGATAGATAGATAGATAGATAGATAGATGAAATATGGATAGATGGACAGACAGATATATTAGATAGACAGATAGATAGATAGATAGATAGATAGATAGATAGATAGATAGATAGATAGATAGATAGATAGATAGATAGATAGATGATAGATAGATAGATAGATAGATAGATAGATAGATAGATAGATAGATAGATAGATAGATAGATAGATAGATAGATAGATAGATAGATAGATAGACAGACAGACAGGTGGACAGACAGACAGATAGATAGATAGATAGATAGATAGATAGATAGATAGATAGATAGATAGATAGATAGATAGATAGATAGATAGATAGATAGATAATTCAATTCAATTCAAATTGCTTTATTGGCATGACTGTACATATTACAATATTGCCAAAGCTTGTAACACATAGCATAGTGAAGACATCAATAAAAACAAAGTATTATAACAACTTAAATTGAAATGTACAAATTAAATTAATTGCAAAAAATAACAGTGTAACAGATTATAAATTCTATGAACGTTTGATACCACAGTGTTTTAACATACATATATACACACATACACACATTACTGAGGGTCACTGTGGTGGACATTAGGGAAAGATAGATAGATCAGACTGAAGAAAATTAATTCTTCTGATGAACTGATGAAATGCCCATCCTGTAAATCCAGTGAATCCAGGCAGAGGATTACAGTCTCAACGTGTGTCACTCAATCTCTCCCAGTCTGCACATCAACCGCTGCGTTTACTCTGAGATGAAGCATCTTGAGTGAGTCGTAATCCCACCAAACAGCACAAATCACTCGAGTGAGTGAAGAATGACCATCTCACACGCTGCACTGTATCCGGACACTGCAGATGATGCCATCCTCTATAACTGTGAGTA